CCTCATTCTTCATGTCAGGAGTCAACACACAGACAGACAGACAAACAGACTGGTGGAATAAATCTCGACGGAAAAAGCACATTTTCCACGGGAAAATTCTAGAGAGCTTTTAAATCTTGTTGATATGTTGTTCACTTTTCACACAATCTGACGTGTGTAAACGTAACGTTTTAATAATTTTTTTTTTAACTTTTTATTATCATTATTATTATTATCACTTTTTTTTCCTTTCTCTCTCTCTGTCTCCCCCTCCTCCCCCAATCAATTATTTATCGATTCGATAACGAGTTTTATTTTTAAAAAAATTTTTTTTTTTTTTACTTATATTTGTCGCAAAAATATGAATTCATAAAGAAAAAAAAAAACTAATTAACGTGTCAGAAGAAGAAAAAGAAAAAAAAAGTAATAAAATAAATAAAAATGGTATAATAAAATAAAAATTCAGAGAAGAGAAAAAAAAAATGGCGTCGCGAGTAAGTAAGTAAAAGAAGAAGAAGAAAGAAAAAAAAATAATAATAATAAAAATAAAATTTTAGTGAAAAAAAAAAAAAGAATTGAGAAGAAAGGCGGTGGGAAAGGGGGGCGGGAAAGAGAAGGGGAGGCGGGAAAGGAGGCGGGATGTTAAAGGGAGGGCGTTAATTGATAGCATTTTCACTGGAATAGCCAATTAATTCCAGAAAAAAAAACTCATTTTTTTTTTTTCTATAAATGAAAAATCTCATTGACTTTTTTTTTTCTTTTTTCTTCTTTTCTTTTATTTGTTTTTTTTAAATATTTATTATTATTATTATTATTAAAGTTAAACGACGGATGCGTTTTCGATCTGTTTCGTCTGTGATTAAACAACAACAGGGAAAATTTATGTAGAAAAAAAATTATTATTATTATGGAATCTTAGTTAAAAGTTTATCTTTTAAGAATAACAAAGGAAAGAAAAAAAAAAAAAAAGGTTTAAAGAATTAAATAAAAACAAAAAAAAAAAATTTTATTTTTTTTTTGAGCAAATAAGGGAAAGAAAATGCCTATAATTCGTCTCCGAGACGGAAATGTTAATCTCCTTTTTATAATTCAACTGAAATAAGTAAAGAAAAAAAAAAAGCAGAAGACAAAAAAAAAAAAAAAGAAAATTAAAATTCATTCAGTTTTGTTAAGAGAGAGAGAAAAAAAAAAGAAAGTTTATCAGACTACTCGAAACGATTTCGTTTTCATAACTTTTCCAATTTTTTTTTTTTTTTTTTTTTTTATTAAATTAGCGTTGCCAACCAAACAAACAAACAAAAAAAATTTTTTTTCTACTCTCCTTCCTCCCCCTCCGCCACACACAAAAAAAAATTTTTCTCGTATTTTGTTTTTATGCGTAAATACGTGCGCCCTCCATTTTCTTTCTCTCTCTCTCTATTTTTACTCCGCCATTTTTTTTTGTCATTTAGTCATCCTCACTATTAAATTCAAAATCACATTATCAAACATCTATCATTCGTTTTATAAAAAAAAAAAAAGACCGAAAACGGTAGAAGGAAATGAAATATACAAAGAATTACAGTAATTTAGTTTCTTCACCCTAAAGAATTGTGAATTTTATAACTTTTTTCTCCTCCTCTCCTTTCCCCTATCCCCCACTCTCTCCCCTTCCCTCTCCCCGAAAGCTTCATTTACACTATATGTAATAAATTTTCATTATCACCATCGCCCGCCATCATTGTATTCTGCTTTCTGCTTTTTATATTAAATTTACTATAATTCAGTATCATTTCTACTTCTTTTTATGCTTTTTTCGGTTTTAATAATGATAATAATAATAATAATAATAATATTTCTCGTCACAAACAAACAAAAAAATTAATTAAAATTCAGGTACGAGAAAAAAAAAATAACAATAATATAAATTTGCACCTTTAAATTTAAACGAATTAAAAAAAATTATTATTATTATTTTTTATTATCATCATCATCATCATCGTCATCGTAGTCATCTTCGTTTTTATTATTATTATTATTATTATTATTTTTCGTGCACGAAAAAATTCGCGTTGCGAAAGAAAATTTTTTTCCCCGTGTTATCTCATTAAAAAAAAAAAAAAAAATTTTCTGTTGCGAGATTTAAGTTAAAACTGTTATCAAAAGCTCCATCTTACAGCATCCCCGTAACAAACAAAACAACTCTTCTGTAGTTAGTCTCACTGTTTCACCCTCTCTCTCTCTCTCTCTCTCTCTGATGATATGACGTTTTTTTTTAAATGCATAAAACTGTTTTACCTTTCCATTTTTCTTTACAATCGTCATCATAGAAAAAATTTTTTTAATCGATTCATGACGTCCTAATCGGAAACGGAAATGAGAGTTTGATGACGTAATCGGTCCGTTATAATTATTATAATCGATACGTGATTCGATTTGAATTAGAATCGTCGTAGAAATTTTAAACCGAACGGTAATATGCATAATGAAAATATTAAAAAAAAAAAAGTTTTCCTCATGACGACGACGACGACGACGACACGTTATATTGAGAATTTTCCCTAATTTACGATTGGTAATTAAAGGGGTAAACCGCTCCCGCCGCCATTCGACCTCCTGTAAGACCATACATTTGACGTCCTCCTCACTCATATATATATCTTTAACTTTTATTATTGCCGTTTTCATACCGACCCAAACGAAACTCTCTACCGAAATCCCTCTTAAAAAAAAAAAAAAAAAGGAAAAACTTATCTTTTTTAATTAGTTTTTCTTTTTTTTTTCTCTCTCTCTCTCTCACAAAATAAAACAATAATAATAATAATAATTATAAATAATATTCTATCGATTAAATAAATAAATTAAAAAGTATTATTAAGAGACGATAAGAGAAAAATAAAAAAAAAATATTTATAAAATTTTACCTCTTCTTAGTTATAGATAGTCAAATATCGTTAAGACTAATAATAATTTTTACGGTACATAAATCATCATTATGAAAGAGAGAGAGAGCGAAAGAGAGAGAGAAAACAAAGATATTAAAGAAAATTTAAGTTTTTTGATCGCTATATATATATTTCTCTGACATGATTCCGTAAAAGTTTTTTTATAAAAAAAATTTGTAAAAAAAAAAAAGAAATTTTTGATCTTTAAGAGGAAAAAGTTTTTTACTTCTTCTAGAAAAATCGATTTGATTTATGTTAAAATTAGTTAACTCATTTGGAAAAAAAAATATCTTATCGTGTTAAATGCCTTTTATTTATGTTTTAACAAATTATCAAGTTTTTTTAAAATTATCGATCAATTATATTGTATTTAGCTTTTGGATAATTTTGTTTTTTTAAAATAAAATAAAAAAAAGTTTTTCTTTTTACCCTTTTTTTCTTATTTCAAATTTACTCTACTCTCTTCCTCCTTCTTCCATATACTTTCCCCTCCCCCCTCTGCCCTTTTTCCGCCATTTTCTCTCGATTTCTTTAACTCTTTTCCTTTTTTTTCCTTTTTTAGATTTAATAAAGTAAGAGTTAAAGATTTTCGTATCAGTTTTGAAAAAAGTTTAAATTTTTAAACTTTTTTTTTTAAATGACAATTAAAATTTCATTTATTATTATTATTATTATCATTATCGTCGTCGTTGTCGTCGTCGTCTTCCTAAAATTTTTTTGTTCCCCCTATTTTAATAATTTTTATCAATAATTTATTTTAGTAAAAATAATTATATCGATTTTATTATCAGGTATGAGAGTAAAGAGAGAGAGAGAGAGCAAAGCTAATACAATTATTAATATTAATATTATTATTATTATTATTATTTGTTTACACGAGTACGAGAGGTTACAAAATGGGAAAAGACAAACAAACAAAACAATTAAATAAATAATTAATTAATATTAAAGCTTTCTCATAGATTTATTAATTTTTTTTTTTTTGTACATTTTATTTATATCATTTTATTATTATTATTATTATTATTATTATTATTAAAAAGCAAATAATCATTAATAATAATGATGATGATGATAATAATAATCGAATTAATGTTATTTATAATTATTATTATTAGTAAAAACGTATCGATCGAATTTATTTAATAGTTTAATAAATTATTTTTTATTTAAAATTTTTATTTACTTTATGACATGATTAATAATAATAATATTTTTTCGAATTTACTCTTTAATAAATAAATAATATTTTATTAATAGATAAATAAAAATATACCGACGTTAATTATTGTTAAATAAATAATAATAAGAATTAGTTGTGATTATCGTAACCGCAAATTCGGATCAACTTAAATAAATAAATAAATGAAAATTTATTAAAAAAGTAAAATTCGGAAAAACTTCAGAATTATTATTATTATCAAGCATTCGGTGAGTTTGACATAATTAAAAAATTATTACTATTATTATTATTATTAATTTATTAATTGTTATTGTAATTAGTAAAAAAGAAAAAAGAAAATTTTTTTTAAAATGAAAACTAAGGCAAATCGATAGCTTACGAAAATGGTCTCCAACTTTATTTATTTATTTATTTATTTATTATTATTATTATTATTATTATTATTATTAGCCAAATTAATAAATAAATTTTCTTGATTACGTGTTAATAAGCTTTAATTTATTTTTAAATAAATCAATTAAATAATTTTTTTTTGTTTTATTTTTATTTATTTAAATTAAAATTTCCAGTCTTTCAAAAATTTTTAGTTATAAATTTATTTCTTATTATTTATAAATTATTATACACATTTATTTAATTATTTATTTATTTATTTATTTAATTTGTATTTATTTAATAAATAAAACAATTGTTTAATAACGTTTTTAGATATGCTAATGATAAATAATTTAACATTATTAATTAATTGTTATTAAAAAATAAAAATAGTGCGACAAATGATATCGATCTCAAATTGATTTTGATATTTTCTCCCGTAATTAATTTTAAATTAATTATAAACTAAAAAATGATAATAATAATGATGATGATGATGATGATGATTAAAATAATGTAAAAAAAAAAAATAAAATGAATCAAGTATTGCAAGGTGGGCATTGAGTTTTTTGAGATTGTTCTCGAACATATTCTTTAACGTTAAAACCCGTTTCGTCTGGATTTTTAGTTTTTCTCGATTTTAATTCTCTCGCAATTGCAATGAATGCCAAATCCACGTTTAAACCGGTTTTCGCCGATGTTTCCATGAATGCGACATCATATTCTTTGGCTAACCTTTCGCCATCTTCTTTTCTAATAACTCTGTTCGCGCTACAATCGGCTTTGTTACCTATAATAATTCAAGAACTAAAGATTTTTCCAAAAAAAAGAAAGAAAAATTTTGGTGTACGAATTGTTTATTATTACCCAAAAGCATGATAACAACATCTTCCTGTGCGTAATCTCTTATTTCACCCAACCAAGCTCTTATATTATCAAAACTTGTTTTATTAGTGACGTCATAAAGAAGAAGTAAAGCGTGAGCATCTCTATAGTAAGCATGAGTGACACTCCTAAATCTTTCCTGACCGGCAGTATCCCAAATTTGTAATTTAACTTTCGTGTCATCAACCGTAACTATTTTATTCTGTAACAAAATTATTTCATTCGATTATTATTTTTTATATATTCGTATTTTAACTTTCGAGTCCGGTTGGTTTCTGCCACGTCATTCCCAAAATCTTACCCTAAAATCAATACCGACGGTCGATATAAAATTTCCTGATAAAAATTGACCGTCTCTAAACCTGATAAGAAGACACGTTTTTCCAACTCCCGAATCTCCTAGAAGCATTACCTGTAAATTCCCCATTCCAACTACAATTTTCCTATATTTTTATAATAATAATGATAATGATAATGATAATAATCAAACCTTTCCGACGATCGAACCAGGATCGGATACTTCAAAAGGTTTTCTCAAATTAGGATTATCGTCGATAACTTTAGCCGTGCAATTACCATTCGAATGAAAACTCCTTCTCGACCAATTAATATTTGTTAAACTTTTTTTCCTAGATAATTGTCTACTGCTTTCGGACGACATTTTTTTTTTTTTTTTTAAATCATTCGATATATAAATTATTTATTGTAATAATAATGATAATGATAAAATAAACGTGGCGGAAGTTTTACAATTGTAATTTTTTCCCATTTTAAAAAAATTTTTTTATTACGTCACTTATCGTTTATTCCACACATTTGCTATTAAACAAACGTAAAAAAAAAATAATAATAATAATAATAATAATGATATTTATTAATTAAATTTTTTTTAAAAAAAAACTTTGAAGTGTAAAAAAATTTTCACCGAAATGGAAAAAATCGTTTTTTTTTTTTTTTTTTACGTAAAAAAAATTTAATCAACCGTTAAATTCGTTAGTTTTTTCTGATAAACCTCATTATTATTATTATTATTTCAAACATTTTTACAATTAGTTTGAGTATTAACGATAAATATTACGCGTTGAAAAAAAAAAAATTCAAATTCAGGCACGTGGCATAAAAAAAAAAAAAAAATTAAATAAAAAATAATTTTTAAACCGTCCTGCGCATGTAACAAAAGGTAGTAATAAAAAAAAAAAAAATTTTTTTTCTTTTTTAATTCGTTTGTCGTTTATTAATTAATTGCGTTATAAAATAATTAAGTTATTATTATTATTATTATTATTATTATTATTATTATTTTATTACAACGTTGACGTCGAACGATCGAATTCACTTTATAAAAACGCTAACGAAAAATTTTATAAAATTATTTTTTTTTTTATTTATCCGACATTTTTCCGTTTCGTTATAACAATTTAAAACCGAATCTAATGATTTTTTAAAATTATATTATCAATACGAAATAAAAAAAAAACACCTGTTTAATCGTGGCAATTTAACGTTTAACGTGTCACAAGACAACTAAACAAAAAAAAAAATTGTTTTTTTGCGATAAAACAAATAAAATAATATATTACGTCACGATGTCATTACTCCCGTTTGATTTCCGTTTCGGTAAAAAAATTTTTTTTTATTTCTCACAGCACGAAAAAAAAATTTAAAGAGCCCCCCAAAAAAAAAAAATTCCTATATTTTCCTCCTCGTTTCTTCCTTTCTACCTCCCTTCCTTCCTCTTCTCCCCTTAAAAACACTTTAATTAAAGACAAAAATAGTAAAAAAAAATTTAATAAAGAAAAAATAAATTTTCCAAACGAATTTAAATTTTAAAAAAACCCTAATTTTTTTTTTTTTTTATTGTTTCTCGGTACTTTACGCGTATAGGTATTGACCGTCAAACTCAGTTGTTCTTAACTGAGTACAAAATTAGAAGAATGGTTGTTACCACAGCAACGAATACGCCATTTTCCATCTTTTACAACCATTTTTTTACAAAGAGATTTTCCACTATTTTAAACCGTTGTTCTAATTATGTTATTTCATCGATCCTGTCATCAATGTTTTTACATTGTCTCGATAACATTTCCTCTCACGTCGAAACAAAATTTCCTCAACTTTTTTCCTACATCCTCCATTTTATTATTTTTTTCTTACTCGAATTTTTTTTTTTAAGGCTACTTTTAAAAACGACATAACTTCATTATTCGAGTTGTATAAATTAAAACGAGTAGTAAAAAAAATAGAGAGTAACCATCGTGAAAATAAAATGAATTTTTTTTAAAAACCAACAGAAAAATGTAAGGCTTTGAATGCGTGTCCGTGTAATTTTACAAAGAGTTGAATCAACAGGTGGGATTACTTTTTACTCTCTCATATAATATTTCACAAGAGTGTGTTCGTGAATGAACGAATGAATGAAACAAAAAGTTTCATTATTACAAATTTTACAATGAAAAAAAAAAAAACCGCCTTTTGCTCTCTTTACTTTCCATTTTTTTTTTTGTTTCATTTATTATCTGCTTGATAAGTTTTTTTTTTTCTATTAAATATTAATAATGATATTATAATGAGTTTAATGAGCGTGATCGATACACTGCACTGCATAAAAAATATATCAAAGTTTCAAAAAAAAAAAAAAGAATTTATAGATAAATTACCCCCCTTAATATTTTAAAATAGTTTATTTTTAATTTTGTTAAGTACGACATTTTGCATAGTTTTGTATTGTCAGGCGCTTTTTTTAAAATTCAATTTAATCCGATTAAGTTTTTTTTATTAAATAAAATATTTGATGATTATTCGTTTAAAAACGATTCGATACGTTATTTTTGTACAAAATTAATTTATCGCGAAGAAGAATGGTTTTTTTTTTTGAGGGAACGCGTACCGAAAATAGAATCGAAATTTCGTATCGATCTGATTTTAAAGTGTTAAAATTTTAATCATCAAACCTTACAATAAATAGTTTGTTTTTGTCTCAATGTTTGAATTGAAAAAAATATGTGTTGGTTTTGTTACGATTGGTATACACACATTGAAGAGAAAAACAACAAAAATCTCATGTGCAAATAAAAACACAAAATGAATCATAAAAAAAAGAGAGAAAAACATTTGATGTTTTGTGCAATGGCAACCCATATATGTATCCCGATTTGAATTTAAACAACAACGAAATAAATAAAATTGAATTATTCATACCATAAATCCTATTCCCACAGTGGCAGCAAAATTTCCTCCCTTAAATTTTCCAGTATCGAATTGCACGAGTAAAGAAGTTTTTCCAACACCGCTATCACCTAATAAAATCGTCTAGAAAAAAAAATTATTTAAATTATTCTAATAGTATATTATATGCTGCGCCATAATAGAATTTTCTAAAACATTTCTCACTTTGTGTGCGATTTCTTCGGTATGAGTTTTAGTTTCGAAAAGTTCTTTTGGAGGTTGATAATCTTTATAACCGGTAGGAGATGGAGTTCTATGAGTTGTGTTGGCCAAAACATTTAATCCTTTTCCAGAATATGAATTACCACCTGCTTCATCCATTTCAAAAACATCATCGGACATGCTGTCATCCGCAATCATATCTATTATTATCATTTAATAAAAAAAAAAAGGTATCATCATCAACCGAACAATGTGCCGCGTAACAAAATAATAATAATAATTTTTTTTTTTTGTTTTTAAAAGAATTTTCCATTTTCTCACCTATAATTTAATCATATGATAATTGATAAAAATAATCAAGATTCCATCTGGAACATTTTTATTCTTTGTAATTACCACGAAATTACTCTTGATTCATTTATAATATAATCTTCGAACCTTTTTCTTCTCTTTTTTTAATACGTGATGGTTTTTTATAATATTATTTATTATAATCACGTTTTACAGATGATAAATAACCCCTACATAAATAATAAATAATTCTACAATTATTAATAATTAATTCATAAAAAAAAAAAAAAAAATTATTTTGTCACCAACCAAAGTTTAATCCACACAATATTTATATCGAATAAAATAAATGTATATACTTTTATATTATTATATAATTTATCGCGTTGCAATTAAATAAAATAATAATAATAATAATAAATAATTTAAAAATTCAATAACAATTTAAAACAGTTCGCAACTGACACTTTTTTTTTTTTTTTAGTGATAAGAAACGCAGTATTGTAAGTTTACAACGGTAATTATTATCTACATAAAGTTAAAAATAACTAAAAAGGGTTTCCGTTTATTAAAAAAAAATAGGTTAAGTGTTTACTTACATGGCGTATTCCAGATAAAAAAAAAAAAAAAACAAGAAAGAAATTTCTAGATGTTAATAAGTTGAAGAATATGCATTATTATTTTATACGTATACGATTTATCACATTTTTTTTTTTTTTGAATTTTATATTGTTTTTATGTTAATATAAAAAAATATTTGTTGAATGATGATGATGATGATGGTTTAATCTATAAAATATCAAAGAATGTAACAGATCAATGAAAACAAGTGGAAAGCGCATGATCGTGGGGGGGGAAAATTCCTGTTGGATTTTTAAAATTTTCCTTAAAGATTACAACGATTGGTGTAAAAGATTGATTTCTTTAAAGTTTTTTCACCAATTCATTATTTTCTTTTGTACCTAAAAATAAATTTATTATTTAATAATATCAAATTAAACAAACAAACAAACAAACAAACGATTCGATGTTAAGATGTTAAGAAAACGATTGACGAAAAAAAAAACAAATTTTTATTTATAAAAAGTGTAAAAATATCGTGAGAAATGATATATATTTCGAATTTTTTTTTTTTTTTATTCAACCTAATTTTTATTTAATATTTTTTTAAAAATTTTGTCACCCCTTTAAGGGAGAAACACCAGGTGTGGTTGTGTGTGTGTGAGAGAACCACCCCAATCGACACACACACACACACGCACATACTCAAAATTTTATTTTGTTAAAAATTAGGTTAAAAATTTACAAAAGGTTTTTTTTTTTTTAAAAAAAAATCGAATTTGTTTCGTATTTACTTTTAATATTTTTTTAATAATAATAATAATAAAATTTATCAAGGCGGTTTGGCGGTTTAAATGTTTTTAAATTTAAAGTTTTCTTAAGATATAAAAAAAGAAAAGGATCGTCGTCATGTTTTAAAAAAAAAAAACTATCCTTTTTTTTTGTCAATAACCCACCACTTTAAAAATTTTTATTCATTCAACTAAAACCCTTTGCATTATTAATAAATAATAATAATTATTATTATTATTATTATTTTAAACAATACTTTTAAAATAGGTTAAATGTTACTATTCAAAAAAATAATAATAATAATTTAAGCATTGTCTAAATGTTTTTTTTTAATACTTGAAAACAATCAAGTATGAATCTTTACTTTGTAGAAACAAAAAAAAAGAACTGACAAGTTATTATTATTATTATTATTATTATAAAAAACCGGGTAAAGATTAGCAAAAAAAAAAAAAAAAGATGACAGTTAGTAACTGTAACGAGAAAAAAATAAAAGAAGGTACAAATGATCTCATTTGAATGAATCTAAGAAGAAAGTTTTTATAACAATTTAATTTTTAAATTTAACAATAGAATCAAAAAGTTGCCCATTCAATCTCTTCCCCCCCCTCCCCACGGGGCCCCATAATTTATTCGAATAAAGATCTTTCGATAAAGATTTGTGACAAAAAAATTTTTTTTTTTTGATGTACGTACAATAAGGATTAATAACAAATAAAAAGGTATTTTTTTTTTTTTTTATAATAATTGCGTGATCAAAATACCTGTTTAAACAAAAAAAAAAAAAAAATTGAGATAGATGGGAAAATGATTTGGGGTAGCTTCTCACTTATCCCGTTCAATGTTCCTTTTTTTTTTTTTTTGATTATGTTTGTATCACATCATTGTTTGTTTGTATCTTTTTTCTTTAGTCCCATCCATCCCATGATAAAAAAAAAAAAAAATTTTTATGAATTTTTTTTCATTATCCTGTTGTAAATTTAATGGTTAATTAATTTATGGGATTTATGTTGTTAACCGCATCATTTATTAAACATTCATCTCATCATCATCATCATCATCATCATCATATGTCAATATTTTATTCATTCCTATAAAAAAATTATCATCATCTGTGTAATTAGGTCAAATTTTTAAAAACCATTTTTGTTTATTATTATTATTCGTTTTTAATTTTTCGAAATGTCGATTAAGGTTTCATTTTTTAAACCTTAAATATTGTAAAGGATTACCTTCGCATAAACTCGTAAATTAATAAATGCAAGGCCAAAATGACGATAAGCAGGTGATTTGAAAGCTGGATTGTGTTCAGAAATATAAAGAGGCCAAGATTTGAACAACAACAACAACAACAACAACAACCATCTGCCTCGACGTTGACCGGTTTTTTTTTTTAAATGAGGAACGAACGCAATAGAAAAACAACGGGCGAAACAATCATTTTAAATTGAAATCGTTTGCATTTATCGCAATTTAAGAAAACCGAGACCGGGTATGTTTCACGTTGAAAATATCATTTTTTTATTTTAAATTTACAGCAGATGTTTTGGACCAAATATCTGTCATCTGCCGAATGCCAATGAAGCTGAAAAAAATACCAAAATTAGTTATATCTTTTTTACTGTACTTAGAAATAATAATAATAATAATAATAATTCATCACTTTATATGTTTGTCTATTTGTTAATCTTACCTTACGAATAAAAGTAACAAAAGTTTCCATGAATTGAAATTTCTTATAAAATAATTATTCCTACCTAATAAATAAATATTTTTCTTTTATTTACGTGTAACAGTAAGTTTTTTTTTGTAGCACTAACAGAAAAAATTGAGCGCCAAAATTTCAGACTCCTAATATGCATTGTTGTGCATGAAACACGTTTCAGTTACTAAATACTAAGTTAATGTAAAAAGTATACTTAGTTCTTTTGATAACAACATAAATAATTATTAAACTTTTTCTTTTTTTAACGATTGTTTTTTTTAAAGTCAAATTATTAAAAATTATTCAAAAATTTCAGAAAAGTTTTTCACTACGTTAACTTTACAGTGTTTACTACTAATTAATAATCGCGATAAATAAAATTTAAAATGACGTTATTGTTATTATAATTTATTTTTTAATATAATAAATAATATTTAATAATCGTTTTGTAAATATTATGATAAATATTAAATAACATAAAATATTTACATAAAAAAATTTATAAAAAAAAAACACACAACACCGGAACTCATTTGACTTGAATAGTAGTGACGTCAGATTAAACAAGATGGAGTAGGGGGATGACGTAAAGGAACGAAGTATTAGAGCTTCGAGAATGGTCGAGACGTTGATGCGTATGTTTTGTTCAAGGCATGTGAATTACATTAAATTATTTTCTGTTTTATTTTTAATTTGAAATTTATTTGTTAATCAATCACTTTTGTAAATAAATAATTATTTATCAGAATTGAATTTTTATTATAATTCGTGATTATTTGAATTGGTGTTTGTTTGTTAATTAATGGTAGTAAATTAGCGTTAACAGCTTTAGAGAAGTTCATGGAATTAAACTGGATTTTGCGATTGGCAACAAGCTAATTTTGTTTATGTTGTTTAAAAAAATATGTTTACTACTGACGATATTTAAATTTACACATTTTTTTAAATAAATACGTTTCGTTAATGAAATTTTATGTAATACACATTTTTGTTTACTGTTTATAACAAACACAAGCAAATGTCTTTGAATTGTCAGTGACAATAATTTTCGGTACTAAATTTATTATTGAAATATTAATAATAATATTTATTCATTATATATGTGAAATTTAATTAAACGACGTAAAGTTAATAATTTTTTAATTAAATTTAATATTAATATAAAGTTTATTATTTTAATTTAAATATTTTGCTATCAAAAGTTTTTTATTGTGTTAACTGTTATTTTCTATTGTTTTAGAATAACATACTCTTACATTTGAGTTTACAAACAAATATATATATATATATATGTAATATAATAAAATGTATTTTATCAATACATTATATTTTCATTAGTGAGTGGTTATTATTATTATGGAATTACCAATGGGGGACAGAGTGTATGCTGCTGAACGTATTATGAAAAAAAGGATAAGGAGGGTAAATATTATCATTATTACTTAATATATTTTTACATGTAATAAATGTTATCAATGGAAATATTTTTTTCCTCGATTGTAATAAAGCAACTTTCACTTGACCAAAATTTGCTTTTTTTTTTTTTTTTTTTAAAATCAAACAAATTTTAAAAAAATAGCCTTGGGAAAAAAAATAATTTAATTAGGACAAATTTTGAATAAATTATATCTTATCAAACTATCAGCTAAAAGCTCTCAAAAATTTTGTTGCTCAAACCGATTCGACTGACATCATTCGAATTCGATAATAACCAAAAACAATTTAACAATTTTTTTTTTTTTTTTTTTTTAACAAAGCCATTTTTTCCTACAAAAATAAAATAAGTTTTATTTTTTATTTTTAATAAATATATGCACATACATGCTTACTTTAAAATAATTATCTAAGTATTTTAGAAATTTTTGTGTTTTCGATAATTTTTAATTAAAAGAAATTTTAGTAATAAAGTATTTTTGAATTCGAATAATAAATTTGTGTTATTAAATAATGTTTTAATATTATAAATATTATATTATTAAGTAAAATTTTTGAATCTGTCATGACTACAAAAGTGATTCAGAAAAATTTTGCTGCTGATTCATGGTTTTTCTTTTTTTTTTTTTTTTTCTGTTTAGGGAAAGGTTGAATATTTTGTAAAATGGAAAGGATGGAGTCAAAAGTAAGTTTGTGTTATTTATTTGAATGACTCATAATTTTTCCCGATAAAAAAAAAAAGGAAAAATTTATTTTTCATTTTTTTCTCTTAATTAATAATTATTTATAAAGATTTATTTATTTATTAATTTTTTAAAATTATTTTTTCTTAATTAATTATTAATTTTCTACATTAAATTTTTAGGCACAGTACCTGGGAACCGGAAGAAAATATTTTAGACGGACGTTTGATAGATATTTTTGAAGAAAACCAAAGAGGAGAATACTCAAGTAAACGAGGTGCAAAAAAAAAGGAACAGCTACTTCAAAAAGAAAGAGATAAAGAAAAACTAGCAAAGGAAAGGGAAAAGGAAAGATCTAAAAGTGAAGAAGAAGACGAGGAGGATGATGATGGAGGAGAGAGTAGTCAGGATGAAAGTGCAGATGTTTCCAACAGATTAAACGTCGAAGAGACTGATCAAGAAGATGCCTCTCAAAGCTGTTGGTTAAACTTTAATATAAAATCCCAAAGTTAATATTAAAATTTGTATATTCGGAAAAAAAAAAATAATTTTAGGTACGTCTGACGAAAAAGATGGTAAAAAAGGAAGGAATAAAGAACCTGAAGATTTGAATGATGATAGTTGTAGTAGTGATGATGCTCCGTTACAAGGAAGATTAAAAGACAACGGTTTTACGTCTGATTCTAAATTACGGGAAACGGGTGCGAAAAGAAAAGCGGAAGTTTTGTCAAAGGAATCGGGAAAAATTGGAGTAACTATAACTACTAGTCCAGGAGGAAATTCAAGCCCGCCCCCAGTTAAAATTCCTAAAATAAAAGAAAATTTAACGTCAAACGTTAGTCTTTTTTTATTTTCTCTTTCGGTTACGATTTGATTTATTTTTAGAACATGCGAGTAAAAAAAAATTTTTTTTTTTTTTAAATTTTAGCAGAGTGAAAAAGTTTCTAATAGGAGGCTCAGTACAAAAGGTGAAAAAGAATCAAGTTCAGAAAGTAAATCTTCGTCCGGGAAAAACGATTTGAAAAAATTATCATCGAGTCCTCCCCTAACCAATGTTAAATCTCCACAATCAAATTTTAAAATTTCTTCTCCGCCTCCCGCGACAACATCCGTTTCCGCAATCAAACCGGATGTCGAAAACAAAAAATTGACGATTCCGGTTTCGACGAACGGAATCAAAGAACCTGTACGTAAAATGAAAAATAATAATAATAATAATAAAGAAACGTTTTTTTACATTGACTTTGTTTTTGTTTAAGGTTAAAAACGAATCGAATTCCGATGCTTCGATCGTTAAAAATGAAGAAGTGTCAAAGCAAAAAAAATCACAACAGCAAACTCAGGAAAGTAATGGAGGATTGTCGAAAAAGGACGACGGAGTCAACAATCAATTAATTAAATCCGACGATAAATTAAACAATAATAACAATGTCGACGACGAGAGACTTGGAATCGTGACGACGGAAGTAATAACTCATCCCGGGGGTGATTATTGGAGGACGAGAAATCCTGTAGCCGATCAAATATTTATTACGGACGTTACGGTCAATCTTCAAACGGTCACAATAAGGGAATGCAAAACGGAAAAGGGATTTTTCAAAGAAAGAGAACACAAAGAACAGCAGAAGAGTGATATTAAATAAGAGCGATGATTTAAATTTTTCCATTTTCTTCTTCTTCTTCTTCTTCTACGTCGTTGTTACTTTATTACTATTATTATTATCGAAAAGAATCGCTCACACGTTATTTTCAGGGGTAATTTTTATTATTATTATTATTATTGGTAATTAATTGATGAAAGATTTATTATATAATAAAGAGTTATGAAAAATATAATAATCGGAAAATTTATAAAGTTGTTGAAGAAAAAAGTATGTAAAGCTCATAAACTTAAAACTTTTAACTTTATAAGTGTGAAAAGAAATGGCGCGCGAATAGTTTTTTTTTTTTTTTTATTTTGCTTATCATTTATTTTTTATTTATTTATTGAAAACAATCAATCAATAAATTAGTCAATTGTTGTCAGTTAATCAGTCAGTCAATCAATCAATCACGTTTACATTCGAGAATTTACGAAATTTAAAGACGAAAAAAATAAAAACAAATCAAATCAAAACAAATCAAAAGGAAAAAAAAAAAAAAAAAATTAATTTGTGCTTTAATAGTTAATTATTATTATTATCATTATTATTATTATTATTTTTTTTTATCATTGCAAAAAATTGTACATAACGCACGTTTCATAATTATCATCATCATCATCATCATCATTTTTTTCCATTTTTTTTTTTGTCGGCTTTTTTTTTGTGTGTGTGCTCTTTTAAGATGGCACGCCGCGTGAAAAGTTTTTGTTTTCTCTCTCTCTGTCTCTCTTTCTTTCTCTCTTTGTCTCTTTATAAAGTTAAGAGTTAAATGATAACGATAAGAATAAAAATAAATAAATAAATAAGAATTGAATTAAGGTACAATTTAAAAGTTTAAAATCCTAAAAAAATTTCACAGTTGATTGAATTATCAAAAGAAAGAAAGAATGGAAAATGGGGAAAATTGTTGCGAGAGAGTTTTTCCGATGCACCACGTGATGCACGTGCAAGTGTATAAAAAAAAAAAAAAAATGTATGTGTAAATGCGAAATGTTTTGTTTTTTTATTTTTATTTTTTTTTTAATTGTAATGTAATGAATATTATTTATTTATTTATTTTTTTTTTTTTTTATAAACAATTCGAAATTTTTTTTATAATTTTTTTCAACGTTTGTTTGGTTTTTGCAAAAATGAAAAAGGGTCAATCAACCAGTGAGAATTTTTTTAATTTTTTTTTTTTTTTGGGGGGGAGGGAAGGGGGCAAAAGTTGAGAAAAATGAATTTTTTTTTTTTTAGCGATGAAATAAAACTTTCTGATCGTGACACGTGTGATCACACGTGTTAATGTATTATTAATTTATTTTCTTATTATTATTATTTTAAAAAAAAAACATCCCTAAGAGAAATCAAGTCGTTGTTTGTTTGTTTTTTTTTTTTTTTTTTAAACGTATTATGTATCATCATTATTATTATTATTTATTATTTATGTATTTTTTGATTTAAATGAATGAATGTTACGTATTATTATTATTATCATCATTATGTTTTTCAATGAATTTCGATTGTAATTTTTTTTTTTTTATAATCATTATTATTTTTTTTTTTTTTTTTAATTGTAAATTTATTTATTCGGTATTCATTGTAATATATATATAATTTTTTTTTTTTTTTGAATTTTTGGTTTTTGTAAAAAAAAAATTTACAAGCGAATTAATAATTCTCATATTAATAAAAAAAAATAAAAATAATTAAGTTATTATTATTGATTTGTTAAAATGAAATATATTATATGTAAGTCAGGGCATTTTTGAAAAAATAATTATAATTTATATTTGAAAAAAAAAAATAAAGTTCAAATATTCAAAAATTATGGGATTTGTTTTTTTTTTTTTTTTTTTTTTCCCCGAGGATGATTGATGATGATGAAAATTTTTTTTTTTTTTTTTTAAATCCTTATATAAATTTTAAATTATTATTAAAAATAGTTTTGATTTGATGGGGGAAAAAAAAAAAAAAAAAAAAAAAAAACATTACCTTGATAATCATCTTGATCTGTTGTTTTTCAATTGAATGATAACCATACATTAACGTGATATTTAACTAATATGCGAAAGTGCTGCCACCTGCGAGCGATAGTGCTGCCACCTGTAAGCGACAGTGCTGCTCTCTATAAACAATATAGCCGCCATTTTTAAAAAAATTTAATATAATTGTCTTCTGCTAAGTGATTTTTTCTGTTTACAATAATAAACACTAGAGGGCAGAGTTGTAATCAAAACAAATTAGTAAATAAGAATTAATAACGGTTTTTTTTAATCTGTAGAAAATATTTTTAAAAAAATAGCGCCAAGAATAATTGATGTAAAAAAAAAAAAAAAAATTGCACTTTTCATACGGTAATTTAAAAAAAAATAAAATTATTATTATTATAATATACTTGTAATTAATTTACAGTTAAAAAGCTATAAAAAAAAAAAAATTAGTTCTCAAGAAGTAAAACGTTGAATTATATAAAAAAAAAAAAAACTAACCTTAATTGGTTAAAGTTTTTTTTTTTTTTTTTATTTTGTAAATGAAAAAAAATAAAAAATATTTTTATATTTTTTGTTTTAATCATAAAATCAAAAAAAAATTAATAAATTATGGGTATTTACATAATTATGTAATTGTAAATTTAATTAAATAATAAATAAATTCATTTAAAAATATATTAATTAATGATGTTATTATTAAATTTTCCTTTACCATCATCCTATTCCTCTTATCATTATTATTATTATTATTATTATTATTTTTGCTGTCTATTTAAACTTTGATTACGTACGAATTTTTTTTTTTTTTCAATGACAGAATTTATTTTTTAACGTGTGTTTAAAAATAAAAAAAAAAAAGAGTAAACATTTTGAGGTTTTCCCTTTTTTCATACGTCATGGCCAAGGATAAAATATATATTATTTAAAAAATATTAAATAGAAGGCGTTAAAATAAATAAATAAATAAATAAATAGTTTTTAAAAATGTATTTCGGGGCGTCATTCAAAATTAAATTAAAATTTTTTTTTTTTTTCACTTTCATTCCTTAAGGTTCGCCTTGACAAATGAACGTAAATAAAAAAAAAAAAATTAATTTTTTTTTTTTTTAATGCATTTAAAAATTTTTAATATATATATCCTTTATTCTTCCTCTTTTCATTATTATTATTATTATTATTTATAAATAATTGAATCGAAATCATTTTAAATGTAAAAAAGAAAAAAAATGACGTAATTTCAAATAAATTATCAAACGTGATTATTCCACTTTTAGTTAATCTTTTTTTAAATTCATTAAAAAAAAAAAGATTTTAAGCCTCTACCCTCCCCCCTCCCTCCCCCAACCACGTCAAGGTAGTGATAAAGATGAGATTTTCTCTCTCCCCCTCTCCACTTTTTTTTTAAACGTAAAATCAATTTTAAATAATAATAATGATTGATACCTTTCCGTTGTCAAAAAAAATTAATTTTCTTTTTACTAACATAATCAATCAATCAATCAATCAGTCAATCATTCATCAGGTAAATAAAACACGCATCGTTTGTTTTTGTTGTTGTTGTTATTGTTGTTGTTTATCATTTATTATTTAATTCGACAAAAACAAAAAACAAAAAATTGAAAATTGATATATAAAAATTGTTTGTTTGTTTGTTTGTAATTGTAATCCAAGTACTAACCAGAAGGCAACGTTTTAAATGGAACAAACAATAAAAACAAAATTTTTCGTATAAAAAAAAAATCATATCGATAATAATAATAATAATAATAATAATAATAATAATAATAATAATAATAATAAAGACAATAAAAAGAAAACAAAACAAATGATACGTTTTGAAACAAACACGTTACATAAATCGACATTTGAAAATCCGATGATAAAAACAAACAAACAACAAACGACCGAAAAAATAAAAAATAAAAAGTTGACTGAACTTTTTGTTTTAACGACCGATAAAAAAGTAATTTCGCGTTTGTAAATTAATAAAAATTATATTAATAAATAAATAAATAAATAAATAAACGTAATAAATAATTATTATTATTTAAAAAAAAAAAAAAAAAAAAAAAACGTCTGAAATAATATATTTTAAATATTTAAATTCGTTTGTCTGATGATTGATTGATTGATTGATTGATAAATTCAAAGATGATGATAACAATTTTGATGAAAGCCTTCAAAACAACAACAAACAAAAATTAATTTATGACGTCAAAATTTATTCGTAATTAATTAATAAATAAAAAATGAGAAGGGGGAGGGAAGGAGGGAGGCAGGGGGGTGCAAGGTTGATGATGGGTGGCACAACCTTCGATTCGATACTCCTCGTGCGCGTGTGTTTGTACATACAATCATGACAAAGCAAAATTTAAATTTAAATTTAAATTTAAAAAATTTAATTAATTTTTAATGTTTGTTGCGCCCTTTTACGGATTTTTCTTTTTTCTTTTTCTTTTAAAAAAAGAAAAAAATTAAATAAAGAAAAAAAATAACCGTAGAATTTTTCTTATCTAACAGTTATATAGTTGTCATTAACGGACTCGGAAAAAAAAAAAAAAAAAAATTTTCTTTCTGAACACAAAATACCTTACACAATCATCTTTTTTTTTTTTTTTACAACATAAACTGATAATTCTTATACACAAATTACCTGTGTGAAAAGGTAAATGACCATTTCATGAGTTTTTTTCTTATTTTTTTCCTTCCATTCGAGAAAGTAAATAAATATCTTTCTTCCTTTTTTCTTTTTTTCTCATGTGACAAAAGTTGAATTACATCAACACAAAAAAAAAAAAAGAAGTCTTTGTTCGATCAAATCGTATCAACTTTCCAATGAGAGAAAAGTCATTGATCCAATTCAGATAGGTGATAGATATTGTTTGTTGTTGTTTCGGTGGTAATCAGGTTTTTAAATTGTCTTCATTTTTTTGTTTTATTGGATGCTCCCTCTTTTACGTACTCCCTGTAAAAAAATCAATCAATATTCTATCCAATAATAATAATAATAAAACATCAACCTGTGTG